GAGAGAGAGAGAGAGAGAGAGAGAGAGAGAGAGAGAGAGAGAGAGAGAGAGAGAGAGAGACGGAGAGGAAAGCCCTCCGTCTCGCCTCCTGCGTTCAGCTCTCGTTAAGTCGAAGCGGGCCAGTGACCGCCGTAGCGAGTCTCGGGAGCGCTCTCGGGAGAAATGATTGCGCTTGTGTAATAATGGGACTTAATGCACGTATAATGATACCGTAAGACGGCATTAGTTTGCACAGACGTTGGATATAACTTCGCCCGAGTGGTGAATGAAGAGTGTAGCCGGGGCTAATTGTCTCAGAATGTCTGTGCACGCGAAATATTATTCGTTACTGATATCGAGGTCTTTCTTTTCCGCTCTTCCACGGGGACACGATTAGTGTTGCATCTAGAATATTCCATTATGAAAGTGTGTAAAGCGACCGAGAGATGAGACTCGTTCTCGGTGGTATCGATTCTCTCGGCCACGTCATCTAGACGGTAGGCGTGAAATAAGATAAGCTCTGAGCGTGTGAAGTACTATCAGCCTTGACGAGAAGACGAATTTTCAGCGAGTTTCAGGCCGTAGACTCGGCAACGCCAGGCAATTTTCCGAAAACCGACGGGAACTTCAAGTTCCAAATATATGCTCATGCACTATGTACTTAGCACGGAGGACGCAATATCGCGACGGAATTGTCATTCGAGAGCGTGCCAGCATCTCAAGCAGTTAACGCTTTCATTAACACTTTCGCGATCTTAAACTCAAAGTTGCATATGCGACAATTGACTTGAGGATAAAGATTAGGAGATTGATTTTCGCACACCATTTTGTACGTGTATCAAGTGAATCGTCAAATATTTTTATGGTCATTTTTAATACAGTCTCAGTACAGTTCAGCTTTACAAAAACATTGTAAAAGGAACTGATCTATTTTTATCTAAGCTGCCTGAACTAGTGCAAAAAATTAGAATAAAATATATTTGTCTTATTCTAACTTACCGTACTTATGTGCAAACAGCTAAAAAAAGCAGACCTATAGTGTGATTTTAACGTAATTATTGCTACAATATTTTCTCCTTGGATGAAAATGAAATTTAATCATTGTTTGGTGAATAATTTGCATGTCTTGTACGAATATGAGATACTGGACGTCAAGTATGGCAAAATAATGGTTGCGCAATACCTTCCACGATTAAGAAGCGCGGTGTCGGGTCAAAAATCACGAAGACGTAACGTCAACGGTTCTCGGTTTGAGCCACGAAGAGACTAGTACTACGTCAGCGGTCGCGAACGTGTTAACTTCAGAATTCCAACGCTCGCGCTTAGACACCTAACTTTCTGCAAAGCAAGCGTTTCCGCGGAGTGAGCGATAATACGTCTCTCGCGTTGAGTCTCAACAACGCACGTATTTATTAACATAGGTTATCGAGAGTCGCTCTCGGTGAGAAGGGAGCAGGCGTCACATTAGCCTTTACGCGTGTACAGATAATTAGAAAGAGAAAAATCAGCGCGGGTCAACGAAAGCATGAACGAACGCACACACGCACGCACGACTCGCAAATATTTTTCTACTATTTTACAGCGCCGTCCACTCGAGCGTTTTCGACCGGCGTATTCGACGTGCACCGTGCGACATTGTAACTGCTCGACTTGTAACGCGCATCTCGTGCGTGTCGAGAACACGAGAGAGCACAGTTTGTATAATTCGACGAGTCTTAATAATAAAGTTACGACTTTCAGAATGCACGTTGGCGCGTTGCCTCCTGCACACCTACTCCATGTGGCGGTCAAATGTTTAATGCGACGCGCGCTACCGCTTCCGAAAGCGACGGGAGCGCAATCGATTATGTAAGGAATTGCATTTTGCAACGTGTCGCAGGCGCGAATGGTGTGAATCGCGTTAGCGAGTCCGTGTTAATCTTTGAAAGTCAGATTTGCATCGCGCGGATTGTCTCATCGTCGATGCGTACAATCAACACTGTGCGCTTTATCGTCGCGATGCGGTTCTCTATTTCCAAGTGTCGCGAATAAATACGCGCTCGCGCTCTCAATGTACGTTTGCTCGCGTGAGTAATCAATAACACGTCGAATTGGCCATAGTTATGCAAAAATACATAACTATACAACCCATAAAATTATGATTTTCGAGTTTTTGTTACCGATGGATAGTCCACACGTCTTTCTACGTAAAACAAAAAGCATTTTTATGGGGGCACCTGAAATTAATTAAAAAACAGTTTTAATTTTCTATTGTTATTCTGCGACTTTTCATTTTCAATTGTGTTTTTTTCACCTATTTTTTAAAGATTAAGCTTGTCAATAAATATCTTTAAAGAGGAGAAAAATGATCCTGCTTGACCTTTTGAACGTTTGCCAAAAAACCCAGTGCTATCTATACTTTTTAAAGCGTGTATGGAATTTTCTTCTTTATTTTTCCCCGAATCGTATGTCATGTGGGTTGGATTATTCTTGCATAACTATGGCCGATTACCGTTGATGAAGGACTTTAATTACGTCGAAAAAAATATCGGCCTTATCCTTGGCGAAATCCTATTTTATGTATGGCCTCGAGAAGATTTTTTAAAGAGTGATATTATACTTTTTTAGGCATATGTTTGTTCGCGATTGCTTTACGTGAGACACGTACACGGAATTGGCCGCGAGCCGTGATCAGTAAAACGACGAATTACGGTCGATCAAGGACCGTGAATTATTATTATATGAGAAAACAGATTTTTCATTTGTTACGTCTGGAAATTCTTCGTGAGAATATAAACGTGATAAAATCGCTGCTGCAAACTCGAAAATGTTTCGAAAATTTTGGAACACCTCGGTACTGCGGTGCTCGTAACAAAAAACAAGAGAGAGAGAGAGAGAGAGAGAGAGGGAGAGGGAAAGAGAGAGGAAAAATACTGGCACCTCGTGCGCCCCTACGCAGCTCTATGCCGGCCTGCGTTTCCGCGGCTGATGTTGGTCCCGGGCAATTCCGCGACTGCGTGTCTGGCTTCGCCGGTGCTCGTCGATAACTGTCCGCACGATATATCCCGGAACGGCGTGCACGTGCCGCAGCATCAGGTACGTATCCCGACGAGAGCGAGCGAGCGAGTGAGCTCAGCCCTAAAACCGGAGTCCGATAAAGCGGACTCCGGGGCCTTCGATAAAATTCGCCGGCGAAAGTTCCGCGACATCCGGCGAGAGGGAAGATCCTGGAACCTCCGAGAGCAACAACGCGCCCCGACGTTTTGTGTGCTTGAAAGAAAAAAAAAAAAAAAAAGAAAGAAAGATTTCGAACGACGAGCGAGTATCCGGCGAGGGCGGATCTCCCTCGAGGACTCCGAGCGGATTTCGAAGAGCTGAAGAGGAGCCGGAGTTGCAGAGGGCTGGAAGAGCGCACGGAGTTGCAGGATCTCGCGAGAGGTCCACGCATTTTGTGGTGTTTTGAGAGTTAATCTAATCGCGACAGCGTGCGTGTACCGAGCACCGCGTTTCTCCAGCGGAGCGCGATGGAAGTTAAATTAAGTTAAGAGTTAATTAACCTTCGGCCGTAATTGCATTTCACCGCGTCTTTCCTCATCGTTCCGACTTTTAATCCTAGATCGTTAGGGCGCGCGGCTCCCGATGTTGAGGCCTCATTTTTCATCCGGTTAGCGTCGGAAGTTTACGTCGCGGGAATTAACGTGACGCTTATTAATGGCCTACGCCTGCTGGATTAATCTTGCCGCTCGCCCACACGCACGTTTCGTACGTTTGTATTTGTCCGTATAGCTGCCTTATTTCCAAATACGCAATACGGTCGATCGGAGAGTGGCGTTCTTCTACTTCGCGATGTCGTCCACGATATATATGTATATGTATATGTATCGGGTATCTCCTCGATAATTCAATCGATGAGTCTTCATAATTATTCATCACGCGTTTACCCGTCGACGTTACGGGATGATTCCGAATATAGATCGCATGTTCGAGTCGCGATCTCGATTCTCTCAAGTGCAAACTGTCCGGCCAGCACCGGCCGATTCTAAAAATTAGCGGTTTGTTAACACAAAAAGATATAATCTCATCATTGTATCCTTTTGTATATTGACTGAAACAGATTCTTCTGAAACTAAAAGGAAATTATTCTAATGTCTAAAAAAAAGGAGTCTATTTGTAAAATACTATTTCCTATAATTCTATGTTCTAAGCAAAAGCTTTGCAAGAAAGAATATTCCTTTTCTCATGAATTTTCTATTGATCGGAAATTCATATCAGTTTAATTCCCTTTTGAATAAATATATTTACTTGAAGCGGAATATTCCCTTGCTAGAAGAGATTTCTTTTGAGAACAAGATTAATGCTGTAGACGGAAGATGAAATTTCTCTAACTGTAACCTTAGAACTCTAAACTTGGACTAACTTGGACGAAATTCAGCCAGATCAACTTTTCGAACATTATCGTCCTTAAAACATGTGTTTTGTTTTTCATTTCAACTTTTTCCGACTTTATTGGATCGCAATAGTAGCATATAAAATTATATTCTTCGACAGTTTGTATTCTGATAAAACAAAAGAAAGCATCAAATTTCGATCATTCTTTCAGGAGTTATGAAAGAAGATGGATAAAAAGCTGGATGAAACTTACTCATGTTTAAGATTCATGTAACTTTGTAATATTTACGGTTCTAGAGTTAAAAAATTGCGCTTAGAATATTTTTCTTTTGGTTTCAGAAGGATTGCCTTGAGGCGATATGTAAGAAGATCCCGTTGAGCATGATATCGTATATTTTCGTGTATGTTGCGTTTAGTACGTCTTATCTGTGATACCTGCGTGGGGATTGGGTCAACTGATTTGACGAAAATTCATGATAAGCCAAAGTTGATCCGGATGGGTGTGTAATGAGGTATGTCTTGATAAAAATCAGATATCGAGCGCGTCGCTGAAGAGGGCAACGAGAGATAATCTCAATAAATAATCTGATGTCTGGAGTACGTAATGCATGCTGCATATTGCATTCCAAAATTAAAGATAGATGTACTTATTGTGACCGAGTATTCCGCAACGTGAGTCACCGCCGTCGCTGCTCTGATCGGAAAAATCGATGTGTCTCGTCCCGCCGCGGGATCTCCTCGAGATTTTTCGAGAATTGCTCCTATCTCATTTAGTTCCCTGCTCCGAAACGACCGCTTCGCGGTCTTACCGCGAATTTTTCTCACTCTTTAATCGCGCGATTACGCTACTCCGCGTGCAAAAGATCTTCGAAGACGACTGCCGTCGATCTATAATCGCACATCTTGAAAAAATTCAAATTTCGTCTATCACGATTGCAATCACATCTATGTAGTGAAGTACTTAACGCAGTTATAACATGTCTGTAAAAGTTGAATTGAAAGTAGAAGTGTCAATAAACACAAGTGTCAGCTTATCTCAAGTATCTCATAATCAGATAAAGTCGGAAAAGATTTCTAGGCGATCTTCATCTAATTCCGCGATGAACGATCAAATCTGGAAAATTCAGATCTCGCAAACGTAATTGCGTCTATATTATTATATTAATTTCCATCGTCAGTATTCAAGGTTGTCTGATAATATTCAATACGTTACGCTCGAATATTAATATATTCATATTGCTCGAATATTAACATATTCATATTGCGTTCTTATTTTTGCCACATAACACGTATCAGCCATTACTATAGAAATGAAACCGTCGATATCCGTCAATTTTTCAGCTAATTATCTCACAATCAGATCAAGTCTCAAAAGATTTCCAGACGATCTGTCATCGCCAACTTCGCGTCTCGACGAACGATCGCGCGAATCTAAAAAATTCAGAACTCGCGAACGTAATTGCGTCTATATTATTACATTAATTTCCGTCGTCAAATAGTTCAAGGCTGTCTGATAATATCCAACTCGTTACGCTTAAATATTACTCAACGCAATATGTATCGCGATGTATTTGTATCGCGTTTTTATTGTTGTCGCGTAACACGTATTAGCCACTGAGTGGAACTATCAGTAGTCGATTTCTCAGCTGATTATTTTATAATCAAGTAATCCAAGAGGTTTTCAGGACAGACCTAATATCAGCAGTTCTGCGTCTCGACGAACAATCGCGCGCATCGCCGGCACGGCGCACGAGTGGAAGTACGCTGGTGGTCGTCGACGACGACGACGACGACGACGACGACGACGACGACGACGGCGGCGGTGGCGGCCGCGACGACGACGTTTGCGCGAATCTCGTCAGTCGGCGACGGAGTTGCCTGGTTGCAGCGTGGGTGGCACACGCGCGCGCGTCAGCAAGCGGCCTGGGCTCGATTCGATTAAACTTCGCCACGACCCTCGCGTCGCTGCTCACCGCGGGGTGAGACCTCGTGCCGGGGCTCGTTATGCCGAGCGCAAGCCCTCGCACCAGCGTTACGAGGCGAGGTGAAAATCGGGACACGCGTCGCGTCCACCACGTTGCAGAGGCAGAGGAGCGAGCTGTGTCGTGGACCACGAGGAACGCCTGTCTGCCGTTCGCACGTCGACGACGGGCCGCTACGTCGGAGAGGTAACTGAAAAGGGAGCCTCCTCGCGAGGTGGTGGCGAGTAGGATGGCCAGCCGTCCATGTGGCCTCGGGACGTGTGCGCCAAGCGTGCTCCGCGATACCCGCAGCCTTGCGCCAAGCGAAACCGCGACTAAACCACGACGCGTTACCGTCGTTGCCCAAGTTCCGGGACGATTACGAATTCGGGGAATTCGAATTGCGTTCTCTCCTTTCTTATACACGTCGAGACCTCAGATTCGTCGATGTGAAAGTGTGTAAGTTTTTTCGTGGAAATTTCGTCCAATTTGCGGATTCGCGTTCCCGCCACGAGGCGATGACGATGATGCGACGAAGGGGTTGATTTTATTGCAACGTGCTGAAAGTGATAAAAGCGAGCATGTTCCGCAAATATTGACTGATGAAATTATACATCTTCTGTTCTGTAAATCTGTTCACACTTTTGTCACTTTCACCAAGTTGAATTAATGCACAATCGACCCCATTAAGTCGACCGTATTAAGGATAAGGTGCTGTTTCGCGCTTATTGGCGACCTTGAACATTAACGAGTTCGAAGGTCTACACTGTTAAATATTGGAGGGTCAAATTTAAACCAATTTCTTGAGTTAAATAATATTTAGTTATTTTTAACTATCATGTGTATCAAAATATACTATTTTAACACAAAACATGGGTTTAAAAAAACAACCACATCTAATCAACCCATTTAAAACAATATTAAGTCATTTTTTACTAAAACAAAGGTTACATTAACGTGCACATAATAAAAAATAAACTAAATTTTAGTCAAATTTAATACATTTCTTAAGTTAAATTATTTCCATCACATTAGTTAAATTAACGACATATTTAGTAGGAGCAGTGGCGACTTACAGGAATGGTTAAAAATAACTCAAATTGAGTATAATTTGATACTACGGATTTAACAGTGTAAGCGGATCTTTGACTGCTCGCGGCTTGTGAATCGATTTGACATTTTTTTTCGACAAAAGTCTGTATCAATAGACATTACTTGAAACTCGTCTCAAGTGAAATACTCAAATTCAATGTTAGATGAGAGATTTTCTGTTGAATTGCAATATAAATGCCACATTTGTCGCAATTTAACTGAAAAACTTAGATCTGATTCTGAATAAGAATCTGAGCATCTCACCTGAGATAAGTTTCAAGTAACAACTATCAATACTGGTCTAAGAGTGGCTTTTACCTGCACGACCTATATGTGTAGAGTCGAACGTCACTTGTCACACGGCACGCGACCAATTTTGACGCATTCGCGATCTCGCAAAGAATACACGTTCAATTGCGCGCCTAATTGTTTATCGCACAATTCTGCTCGATAGAATGGCCTTTCCGACATTCCTTCGCGCTTGAAGGACGCGCTATCATTTATATTTAACACTGTCATTTGCATTCTAATGTCGTTTTCGTATACTAGCCTGTGGCCACAAAGCTCCCTCAAAGTCCGATATTCGATTGTACACATCTGCGTTTTCAACGGAAGTTCGCTTTATCTAGCTTGGTCTTCGTATCTGAAATAGCGTGACGGCTTCTATCGGGACACAGCACCACCTCTGTTTGTCTGTCTGTCGAAACTTGGAATTATTATAGTACCGAACGCTACACGCAGCGGAGTCACGTTGAAACTTAACTCGCGCGTCGGTCGATAGTTCGGCTGGCAATATCGTGATATTACTTCAAGTGGTGCGCCGGGATTACTTCCGAAACGGAGCTATAAAAGTAACAATTAAATTTTCCTCAATCTCATAATCGATTTGGACAAGTATTCTTCAATTCGACTGATTGACGATCGATTCAATCAATCGAAAAAGATGTTTAACTGTGGACTGACTTTAACGAATTCAATTAAAAATCGTTTAATTGACGATTGATAAAAAATCGTTCAATTAACAATTGAGCAATTTTAATGAAGTGCCGCTTAATCGACGATTGACATGAGCAAATACAATTGTTAGTTAAACGGCCTTTAGTTGAATGTGTTAAACTCAATCGTCAATTGAATAACTTGAATTAAGCTTACTAAACTCAATTGTCAATTGAACGGTCTTTGATGAAATTTGTTGAAATTATTAGTTATCGAATTATTGAAATTTAATTGTTGCAACTGTCAGTTATCTAATCAATTGTCAGTCAAACAGCTCCCAATCGAATTGGCTTATATATCTTATTTAATCGTCAATAAAATACGATAAATAATTGAAGAAGTAATTAATTGCAATCCTAATGCGAAATTATTTCTGAAAACTCGCCTGTTTTCCCTTTGTCGCTCGTTTTGACTCAAGGAAGATTGCGCAAGAACATTGAACGCGCGTTAACTTGTGCATCGAGTGGCACCTATGTGTTACGTGAGAATTCCCGCGTGTCGATTAAATCACACTTCTAAGCCACGCGGCCGTGGATGTGTTCTTTCTGTGTCGCGCAAACGAAGGTGTGGAGGGAATTCAGATAATCCGCGCAGATAATCGGCAACAAAGAGATGCACGGTGAATCATGAAGGTATTCTTTCGCGTAACGAAAAAACAGAACGGAAATCAGCCGCGTGGCGGCCGAGAAAGGGAAGAACGGCGGTGAAACACCTGTGCGCGCCTCGGGGAGCCGAAGGTACACGTGCGTTTAAACAAATACACGATAGAGCGACTGCAAAGTGACTAACAGAGGGAAATATACGTACTCTCTATGTCGTCGCGTCCGGCTAAAATAAAAATACATGTTGCGCGGTAGCGATCGACGCGCGATAATGAAGTGACTTCACGTTGATCTTATCTCGGGTTATTCCGAAAGCGATGTTTCTCCTTTTCGCAAATGCGCGTGAACAAATTTGCAATAATTCAACGAGCGTGAAGTAATCGAGGGGAATTTCCTCATCATCATCGCCTGGCAGAGAGACAAAAATACGCCTTGCGCAATAACAATTGACACCCGGGATTGACGGCTCCGTGACGGTTTTATCTGTCGTTACTCTCAAGTAGACGTCGTGCTCCATTTTAAGCGTTCCCGACGTTTCGCTCTCGTTTTATTCCGCGAACTTTATTACCAGCTCATTCTGCCGACGTTCACTCACCGGTATCATCAGCGTCCCTTCTCTATCTCTCTTTCTCCGCGGTAATTAAACGTCGAGGGATAATACTCCGTGAAATAAATAGTTAAAGAAATTAAATTAATCGCCGCGAATTAATAATCGAGCGAGCTACGCCTCCGTCTTCGCGGGAATCCGCTATTCCGGGATGCGAGAATTTCATATATGGACTAGCCGGAAGCTGAGTCGGACGCAGTCTTATCGGAGATACATACATCCGTCGGAGCGCAATTGTCGGAGTTAGCCCTGGGGGCTTAACGTCGCGGTTGCTCTCCGCCCGAGCAGGAGAACGTGCAAGTCGGTCGCACAAACGGCATTTATCTAATCAGTCTGATACCCGGCCACTTGAAGAATCGTTGCAATAGCGCGCGTCCTTTCAACCGCCCTTTTTTCCATTGGCTTTCAATGGCATACCTTTGTGACGCGCCCTTTACGTATTCCGGATAAATCGGGGCGCGTCACGACTCGACGAGACCATAGATCGGGCAACGCGAGAGCCATCAGGAGGCCTTAATCGAGGGCTGAATCATATTGGCCGACATTCTATTACGCTCATTCCGCAATACCATGCAACGATGCACACGATAGTACTAATGATAATCGCACAGCAATTTCAACAGCCAATGCGGTAATATCGAATTACTGGTATTCCTGGCAGTTTCAAATGTGCCGCACTCGAGGCGATATACACAGAGAAAAATATCATTCCATTCTTTGCCAAGAAAAGTGCTTATTCAGTTTACTCTCCTTCGCTTAAGTAACAGCTCTCTTCAACAAAGAGCATCTTCTTGACGACAGTTCTGAAATGTACCCATGCGTCAAATTAAAAAAAAAAATTCATTATGATGTGCTCAAAAAAGAAGAATTGATAATCTTCATCAATACATGAAATCTTATCGAGTTGCTTCGACTCTGTGTAAACGAAGCAAATCGAATGTTTGCTTTAATTTAATATTTTCTATTGAAATGTTAAACTTACTAGGATTCAGAACGTACCTTGAACAAATATAATATTTACGAGCTTATGATAAGCTTATGTAAACGCAAATATGGCCAAAGTAAATAGGGAGTTTTTGCAAATATACGGTATAGATGCGATAAGCATTAAAATGACATCATCGAGTCAAAAGAACTGCGCATGCGTATCGGTCACCTTAACGCTATTCAGATAACGTGCGAATATTATTTCTGAAAAATAGCGTTCACGAGTAACGTCGACGTTATGGCTACCAAAATGAGATCTGAACGATTGAAATTCACAAGTCAAAATGATCTCATACTTTTAAGAGAGATTATATCCCAAAATCCATATGAAGAGAGTGAAAAACCTCCATCTTATTATAAAATACTGTTTTATCGTACGTTACCGTAGCATTTACCATGCAAAAACTCTTTTGAAGTAGGTGACGTAAAAACGGAATACGGTATGAAGTCACGTGGCTTCAGCGTATCTAGAATATAGAATTGCAAAAACTCCTTAATATAGTGAACGCGAATACGATAAACACGAATGCGACAAAGACGAGGCTTCGCGTAAATAAACACGACTGGTCTCGCTTACACGTGCACTTGGCGCGAAACACTATTATGTCTCATTACATTACCGCGTACATTATCGTAAGCGATAAGAAAAAATACACAGCTCTCTCTCTCTCTCTCTCTCTCTGTCTGTTGAAATAAATAATTCCTTAGCTTACAGAACACATTGAAAGCGGCCCTACCTCTCGGTTTCAGAACGACCATCGAGGTGGCGCGAAACAGTCGAGCTCGTGGGTGAGTCACGAAGCACGGCGCCCGCTCGATGACCGCCTTGCCTCGTCGTCGAGAGGACAAAGTCGAGGACGAGGCGAACGGTGAGTCGCGGAGCGACGAATGTCCCCATTGTGGCCGACGATGTTGTGCGCGAGGGCGTCGCGAGACCAACAACAGCGGGCCATCACGCCAGCGTGCAGTTGAGACGTCCTCGAGGGTGAATCGAGGACACCCGCGGAGCCGACGGAAGCGCGAGGTCATGCCGAGGAGGAGTGCCATCTGATCGTCCTGCGATTCAGAGAAAGACGCGACCTCGACAATATAATATGATGTGGAAGGCGAAATGGTCGCGCTTCACCGAGTGCTTCTGCCGAAGACCCAGCCTCGTCCTGGTTCTGCTGCCGTGCCTGTTGATCATCACCCTCTACCTCATCTCCGAGATAGATTACGACTACGAGTACGATGTGCAGTATCCGTCCTTCAAGTCGTACAACATCGTGGAAGGTGAGTCGTCCTTCTCGCGTCGCCAACTTGTTCGTTGTTTTTTGCGAATAGAGGCAACGAGTATTGAGTAGTGATGAGCGATGATTATTGAGTAATGAGTATATCTGCACAGAAAAAATAAATCCGTTAGTTAACTGAATTTTTCGTTGTAATCCTGATTAAGAATAGGTACCAGATAAAAAACTCAATTGCAGAAACAAAAAGATAGGAAGTTTCTACTCAGTCAATTGTTGTCGCGCTGAGAGGAATGTATTTAAGAAATACTTATTCGGTGGATATTAATAATATATTTACTTAAATCTAGATTCTTTTATTTAAATTAAACAATAGCTTTCATGACAAACCAAGGTTTTAAGAAAATGTGTTTCTTATTTCAAAAATATTTTCTACTGATATAAGTCTATTATTATATAGTACCCACCGAGGATCTTTTAATTCTTAAATATCCTTCCTCTCAGTGCAGTCAAGTTTTAATACAATTAAATATTCCGTCAAATATATGTTTCTATTTGCGGTAAAAACAAAGATATCATTTTCAGCTGGTCCCTATTCAATTGCACGAACCGACTTTCTTCTCGTGTAAAGTACCGCAAAAGGCGACTTTCCTAATTTCAATGTTCCTAGTTAGTACTCGTTTGTAATTATTCTTGCAACAACTGATGCAATCGATCAGTCGATATTTTAGGAAAATTCGATGCGGACTGTGTCACCCACAGCTCAAGCCGCTTAAATAATTAATGAACAAAGAATTAACAGTTAGATGGCTTTTCCCTCCATTCGGTAGGTCTTCAATATTCTAAGTATGTTGACAAATTAACGAGCAAACTTACAACATCGATCGTCAACTATTTATAACGAAAGATACCGTACGACTGAACACGGCGCGAGAGACAAATGAGTTGAGGTCTTCGAAGAGCCTCTGCATTAATAAGTCCGAGTAAGACAAATATATTTTCGCTCTAACTTATTATACAAGTATGCACTAGCATAGAAGGTTTTTAAAAAACAAACAGACAAGATTGCAAAAATCGAATGGCGCTCGACTATATTGAATTTATGTACTACTAAGCTTCAACGTCTGTTTGGCGTTTGTCTGACGCTATCTGAGTATCCGATCATTCGGATAACGGATAAATGTGATATTGCAGATTCGGGTTTTCCGAGCTATCCGAAAAATTGAATCGTTGAATCCGTATTTAAAACTTGTATTAATTTGAAACTTACCTCAAGTGAAATACTCAGATTTGAATTTAGAATTAGATGTGAGCTTTTCAGCTGAATTACAATTACAAAGATATCACACGTATATTATATGATTCAACGAAAAATTCAAATCCAGCTCTAAATTACAATCTGAATATCTGAGTTGGTATTGTAGTCTTTTTGGTCTCTATATTCGGTATTTGACTTGTTAAATTTCCGCGTTGAAGACGATAAAATTACAGCGGTTTCCGTCTCGCGGCAGGTATGGTAGACGGCTACCTCGTGTGGAATCCGAAGTGCCACATGGTGTCTAAAGAGCCTTTGGATCCGTCCATCGTGAAGTTCGTGAAGAAAGAGAAGTTGGAGAAATGCCCGAACGATCTCATCTTCACGCAAATTTCGAGGGAGCTTAACGGCAGCGTGTTCCTCTCCCTTGACTCCGCCATAACGAACGTGCAGAGCGATGTCGCCTGTTGCTGGTCGTCGGTAGTCAGGCCGAAAGTGGACAAGCCGAAGAAAAATAACTACGACTCGACGATATCGTAAGATTCATCAAACTGCTTTAAAACGCTCAAATGTTTCGTACGACCAAAATTCAGCCAGAGAAAATTGTCAAAATTCCTTCACTTCTTCATTCGTAGTCTCAGAGTTGTATCTGTTTGAACAAATACCGAAATGATGATCCGTTTGACAGTCGTCTAATGATTTTGAGGTCTTCGAAGCGTCTCTGAATCGTTTGAATTGCAGTGTTGAAGGGAGCTCGAAAACGGGCAAACGTCACCTTTTTTTTGTCGACAGAGTGAAGCAATGCGAGAACTTCACGGGGCAAGTGGCGTTACCGCACGAGGTCGAGGTTGTGTATGTGTCGTGCAAGGCGATGACGTCGAAGGCGGCGAAGCCAAAGGTCAAGGCGAAGACCAAGCAGACGAAGCCTTCGACGAAGACGGTGTACGAGAATGTTCACGCGATTTTGAACCCCGAGAAGGTGCGCGATCGCGTCGATCAAAACGTTAATCAGTCAGTCGGCGCCTTCTCGAGGAAACTGAGCGTCCTCATTCTCGGCATCGACAGCGTCAGCCGGCTCAACTTCTACAGGACCATGCCGAAGACCGAGAAATACCTGCGCGAGACCGGCTGGATCGGCTTGAAGGGCTACAACAAGATCGGTGACAACACGTTTCCAAACCTGATGGCGATCCTGACCGGTCAGAACTCGCAGCAGGCGTACTCGAGGTGCAAGCCGACAGAGGCCTACAAGCTTGACAACTGTCCGTTCCTCTGGTACAATTTCCGGAACGCCGGCTACGTGACGGCCTACGGCGAGGACGAGACGATGCTCAACACGTTTAACTACCTCAAGGTCGGCTTCGTCGAACCGCCCACGGATTACTACCTGAGGCCCTACATGTTGGCCAGCGAGAGGCTTCTAAAAGTGAAGAGAAGGTAGTGACGCCTCATTAGCTACTATGCTACTTAACTGCTATTACATTGTGCACATTGCATATCTCGCGTGTGTAGCGTTGCTTTTTCGCGATCGCCGAGGAGAAAAGTCATCGGGCCGAGACTCACTCACTCGCTCGCTCGCTCGCGCTGCTTGCAGATTCAACATGAAGTACTGCACGGGGCCGGAGATGAGCTTCGAGCGGATCTTCGACTATGCCGTGAACTTCGCCCGGACCTTCGTCGGCGTGCCGTATTTTGGCTTCTTCTGGACGAACACCATCAGCCACGACAACATGAACGGTCTCTCGTCGATGGACTCGCACATGCTGCAGCGACTCGAGCTCCTGGAGCAGGAGGCAGTGCTCAACGACTCGATGGTGGTCTTCCTGAGCGACCATGGCATGCGCTGGGGCGCTATTCGCAATACTTTCGTCGGCTGGTACGAGGAGAGGCTGCCGTACATCTACATTTGGCTGCCCGAGTGGTTCCGCAGGGAAAACCCGGAGGCGCACCAGGCTCTTGAGATCAACCAGAATCGCCTCACGTCGCCGTACGATCTCTATGAGACTTTTCGGGACATCCTCGATTTTGCGGCTGGTGAAGCTGACCCCAGCCCGGGCTGCACCACCTGCCAGTCCCTCTTCGCGCCTGTTCCCAGAGAGAGAGGCTGCCAAGACGCCGGCGTGGCGGATCATTGGTGCACCTGCACGGCCTTCAAGTCAACCAACGTCCACGACAGGATCGTCACTAAGGGCATTCAGAAGTTCTTGGACCACGTAGAGAATATCGTGCGCAATTACAAGGACAAGAAAGGCCGACGGCTGTGCGCGCGACTCAAACTGAAGAAGCTGCACCGGGTGGATCGAGTGATCGACTTCGGCACCGACAACTCGTCCAGCATCGCCTACTTCTACATGATTCAGACGACGCCCGGCAACGGCAACTTCGAGGTCACCATCAAGTATCACGGCAACGGCAATTACACTCTGTCCGACAGCGAGGTCAGCAGGATCAACGCCTACGGAATGAGTGCTAGGTGTTTGAATCGCGGGATGAAACAGTATTGCCAATGCGTCAAGTACACGTAGTGAACTTATTCGGGTGAACTTTCACCCTGACGTCGTATGGTCGTCGAAACTTTGCTAGTCCTACAAATTTAATTATTCGTCGAGGGAGATAGTCGATTCCCTTTATCTTTTCGTTTCTTTTCTTTTCTTTAGATGAGAGTTAGACTCGGTTGATTTTTTCCCCGAGAAAACGGCTCGTCAAGCAACGAGAACGCACACTGAGCGAAGATACTTGAAAATTTATTTGTGGGATATAAAATTTATTCCCGCGGAATAAACTTTGCATCTCGGAGATAAATTTTTAAATACTTGTCTTTCTGAGTATTAACACGTTAACTGAAAATATTCGGAAAAATCTCGGGAGAGCTTTTCAGCAAGCTTTCACGACGCGTCCTTTCCGTAACGATCAATTCGACTGAATTCACTTGCCGGGCAAGCTTTTGTGTCGACTCTTTGGTTGTCGAGTTCTTCGGCCACGAACGTGCGACGTGTATTTGTGTTGATATACTTAACAACATATCGAATGCCTATATCGAGCGCACATATCGATCGTCTCAAAGAGCCAGTTCTTCGACCACGAACGTATGTACGACGCATATTTGTATTGATATACTTAACATATCGAATGCACATGTCGAGTGCACATATCGATCGTCTCAAAGAGGGGTCTCAAGCCAGAGGTCTGAGTGATTGCACGTGCGTTTACTGTACGTTGACGAAGTTTCCCTATCAAAAGGTCGTGGTAGTAACCTCGCGTTCCAGTGACGCAAACGACAAGTGCTAATTCGATAGTCGGTTCTGGCTGACTATTGACGAGTCGAGGCGGATTCGTCGCCACATCGGAATAAGATCGTTGGCGAACGACGATTCGCCAGCTGCGCGCCAGAAACGTTGCCTCGATTAGCGACGAGCGACGTCTTGTGCTTCGCAGCCATCACGTTAGATGTTGGCACGCCAAGTCGACGCCAAATCGACGGCCAGTGCTTCCGCGATCACTTTGAGGTACATTTCGAATTTTGTTCTCAGCGCTCAGCTGGCTGAGCTCGCCGCGCACTGTTCGTTCACGTGGATTAATCGCCGGGAGATAATTACGGGGAGAACGAGCTTCGCGGCAAGCGAACCTAATAGAAAAATCCCGCGCGCCTCTGTAATTTATCTCGCGTAATTAATGCGTATTATCGCGCGTGTCGAAGCGCTCATATGTGCGTGTCGCTCGCGATTATTCCTTTCTTCCTCGCCTTCCTCGCTTCCTCTCCACGCACCGTTGCGCGTTCATCGATCGCGCGGGCGTTACGATTGCGCATTTCGTCTCCCGGATCGATATACGTCAAAGATGCATGAGTGCGCGAGGAACGCACAGATGATGAGGAGGCCAAGAACGTGGTCGTGTTCGGCTCGCCACGTTTCTTACGAGTGTATCACAATTTAGAGGCATTTAGCTCTGGTTTTGTAAGTAACGCGTGTGCCTGTCTTACAAGAAGTGCCAAAGTCCGTTCGTTCTGTGCTAAAGTCAAAGTGTGAGCACCTCTGCTCCCCGCGCCGACGGCGACCTGACGTGGTGCGACCGCCCTCGCGTACGCGGAGTACGAGGATTTTACGTGTATAAGCTGAACAAAGAAACACACACAAAAAGGCCAATGAACATATCGTGACATATATTTTACTACGACGTTACGTTAAGCTTTAACTTAGACGACTCAGTCGAGGACGACGCGAGTCCGACGGCGGTCGTAAGAAATGTAATTATAATGAGCGTTTTGCGAGTTATTTGGACCTCTCCGTCGAGAATCGAGCGAGCCAAATTGAACAAAAGTCCCATAGACAGCAGTAGGATCTAAAGTCGCGAGTATAGGAACGTTCCTCGTATTTGTCGAGTGTGTTCGTTCGTTTCCGTGAGATTCCGCTCCCAAAGACGCTGCGCAAACTTGTGTCCCGCGAGCCTTGATTGACAGTCGATCTCGCCCAGAAAGACACATCCACGAGGAGAATCGTCCACGGGGATTCGCATGCGCACGTCTTTAGTGATGCGCGAGAGGTAGTGTGCTTTTATCTATCCATTGGTGGATAGATTATTAAATTATTATTATTACCAAAACGTCACATACACATTCTTCGCGTGGAAATATTTTTTATCTTCCCCCTTTTATCTTCTGTAAATAAAACCGATGCAGAAATAAAGATCGACGTAGATATGTCATGCGAGCGTGACACGGCGGATTACTGAGTAAATAATCCTTTATTAAAAAGACATCCTATACGCAGCAATCTAGACGAGGAGAATATTATAGTTTTCCTTTTTCATATAAATTCTTTGAGATTTTACTATATTTTTAGTCTAGCAATGGATTATCGGTCAGGTCTATCTTGCTAAGGAGCACCCTAAATTTCGCTGAAAAAAAACCTAGCAGATTTCGCTAGAAACACAGCAAGGTGTTTTAATAGTACATCTCAGTCTCTGAAATATAAGCAGCGCACATGAAATAAAAGGATCGAGTGAATTACTGCAGAATGCCGATCTATTTCTCGGTTACAAAGGGTACGGTCCAGCGGGCGCTGCAAATGCTTTGTAGCGTTTTTATTTCTTTCTCTTTCTTCACTCGAATCCGAGGAATAGAACAAGAGGGAGAAACGCTGCGCAACATTTGTAACGGTTGTTGGATCGCGCTCAAAGTCCTGCAGTAAATTTTACTATAAAATTCTCTCCGTGTATCGTAGCGACGTATCAGGTTTTCAGGTTATCAGGCTTTTCAGGTAGTTTTCAATTTCTCACGGCTTCCACCTACAATAAACGGAATTAACTCGACGAGGCGTCCTCGCTGGAACGCCATATGCGGGTTCGCATTCTCTCTCGCAACTCTCTCGTCGTCCGCCGCGACGACCCGCCCGGGTCGCGCGCGATTCCGTGCTTCGGAGTACCGAAGATCACAGCGACCGATTGCCGTTGTCCATGGGTGACGTTGTGGTTCCTGCGCGCCAAGTACAGGTCCAAGGCCCGGATGCCCTCGTAGAGGCTGTCCAAGTCGCAGCCGGTGTATCGTCGCTTGCTGCCGCGCCGAGGAAGTACGCTCTTCGGCGTGACGCTCGGCGTGCTCGCCATCGTGCTGGGACTCGTCGTGCACCCGACGCTCGCCGCCTCCGATACGATCTCAAATTCGTTTTGTAGCTTCTCGTAGCTGTTGCATGCGCTCACCGTGGAGATCTTGGTCAGACAGTTGTCGCGAGAGCACGCGGAGAACTTTCCGGAAGAAGCTCCGCGCAGAGTGCCGAAGGACGGCGACGACGTCGCTGTTGAGTTCAAGCTGGTGCTCTGGTGAGACGGTCTGGCCAGCTTGCTACCCAGAAGTCGTACGAGGGCGTTTCTCGATTTCAAGGTCTCCTCCGTCTCCTGATACTCATTAGGGCTTTTCATGGAAGTGGATTCGGTCGCCACCGTGGCTTTTGACTCCGGCATCTCGTGGTCATCGTCGCGGCTTATCGATGTCGTCGAACTGCTCGACGAGGAATCAGCCATCGGGAGATCTTGAAGATCATGGCTGTTGATAGCGCAACCGCACGCTCCTTCGCAAGAATAGCTGGTGTTACTTCCGTCCGACCTGTTGGCAAGGTTCGACTCAACGCTACGAACAGATTTCTCAGTCGAGTTACATACATGCGAAGGTCTTAAGGCCCTTAGAATTACCTGTCGATGATCTCATCGTAATTTTCTTCCGGTGCACGACAACTGTTCTCCCCCGACGCTTCCGTAGCGACTTCTCGAGCGATCTGAGTCTCCTTCGGAGGATCGTCGGGTCGCCAGTTTGCGTCCAAGGTGGCGGGACGACCCATCAAGCACGTGGCAGATGTTGCGATGTTAACAGATAAGGATACGGCATCGACAGATGCTGAGGAGTGACCTGCGGATTGAGGATACTGCATGCTACGTCGGAACCAATTGCGACGAACCGGACAGATCTGCCTCATCGAGGCCGACAAGCCAGCTATCACGTTCCTCGATATAGTTCCCGGCGGTGTAATGTACGGGGGCGGTGGACTCTCGGGTATACGTGGCCGTCGATCGTTCCCCGACATTATCGAGGTCGTTTGGCTGCTACGACTGTTGCTCGCGCCTTCCACTACTAGGTAAGTAGAGGAGTTCGCGTCCTCATCGCGCCTTTGTGATAAAGTTTGACGTTTAATCCTTCATAATTCATTTAGAGATCGCGCCATTTCGTGAAAATCGAGATCCCGTCTTGAATTAATAATAGATCTTATTTTTCATTTGATTTAAAGCGCTCATTGCTTCACAAGATTTTAGATGACAGAATCAGGATGATGTAGTTATGGAACTGCGAGGAATTATTGAAAAATTTAAAGTATTATTCGATGGCTCTGCGAGATTCAACATGAATCAAAATAGAATGGCGAAAAGAGGACCTTACTGGTTCGGAGAGTTTCTGTTGCAAGTTACACGATTCAAGCATTGAGCCTTCTTGGGCAAGACGAGTTTCGCGACCTCCTCGTAGCCCGGCGGAGCTTCGTACACGGGTGGATCGTCCGGAATGGATATTTCATCAATCCGTGCACCGTCTGCAATATTAAAAACTGTCCGGAGTCACGTGAGAGTCGTCTTGCTCCCATTAACTGTGGGAGCCAACGACTCCCATTAGCAGTCGACGTGCTTCGACTTGTGCGCTTGAAGAGCTCGCGATCGATATCGCGCGAACGACTCGTTGGAGAAGTATCATCAGGTGCAAATGTTGATCTCTTTAGGAATTTATTAGAGTAGAAATACCTCGATTTTCTTGCGAATGAAATTTACCCGTGGGTAAAAAGCAAGACATGATTGATGCATGAGTTTGATAAATAAATATAATTTATTCTTCTCCCTTTGCTCCCAAAGTTCACTGCGCCAGTAACGGCACTTTCTCTTATCTGCTTTCCGATAGTACCGCGACTTCCGAGACGTTCCGTGCAAAAGACAAGAATATTCCTCGCACACGTACCTAAAAGCTCGCTGATTGTCTCGAGACGAGACTGCAGTTCCCTTTGTTGCCTCGCTCTGGCTCCTATTCTATGGAGCAGTATAATGAGGGCCGATATCAGAACAATCAGACCGAGACTGCTGGCAACGAACACCAGGGTGGCTGTTTTCAGATCGGGATATCGATCGATCTTTGGGAAGTAGTAATTCGCTTTGTTCGTGTGCCATTTGCGATCGCGCGGTTCCACACTCCAATCTGCGGGATATTTTAGAAACGGTTCAGAAAACAGCTCCGTTTATTCAAACACAATCGAAGCTGAGTATTATTTATTCCTTTGGAAAATTCAAGTGTGAGATTTGATTTCAATTTTTGGAATAAATGGGAGAATTATTCATCAACAAAGTAATCGATATCGTTTATACCAACGTACTGACAGCATTCTGATAATTTCTTTCATTGAAGATAATTTTTTTTTAAATACACTATCCAGAATCCCTTTCGTGTCAAGCCTTCAAGTCGCATGCGCCTTACAGAAGATAGACACTCACCTTGAAAACACGTCACCGGCTCGTCGCTGTTATCGCCGCAATGATCGAAACCATCGCAGTTCAGTTGACTGGGGATACATCTATGATTCTGACAGAGGAAGTCGGTGCCAGCGAAGCAATCTACAATGTATTAACCGTCAGAATCGAATTTTAGCGAAATCAATTTTACTCACCTCCGTCAGAAATAGACTCACCCATGTAGCTGAAGGCCGCATAGGCGATTGCCAAGTGAGAACTCGGGCCGAATATACCACGAAGACTCACGTGGAATCCGCTGGAGACTGGCGCGACGTGTTCCCTGTGTCTGAGAGGCTGCAGCTGGCTAGCCGGGTGTCTGATAACTTCCAACGACATCAAGGCCGAGGTCGGACCTTCTTTTATAATCAGCTCCGTGTTGCCGGCTAAAAAATTCCGTTCGACATCACAAAGTATAGCAAGTCTTTTCGCTTACAGAAACATCAACTACGAGAATCACTATAAAAATCCCGTCTGATCCATGATCCACGTACCCATGTCGGCGAAACCCACCACCTTCAGGTACATGTGCGTCTTCATGTGCAGAAAATTCTTCGGCGGCCGGATCAGCCAGACGCAATCGTAGGTCTTCACCCCTTGGCCGACCATGTTCATCATCGTGATAGCACCACCCAAGTTCTCCACGTATCCGCCGCAGTCCGTGATCGGCTGCACGGACTTGTCGAACGCGTGACCGATCACGAATGAGTAAAAGGCCTTGTAGCCCAGGCCGGTGCCGCCGTTGGCGTAAAACCTAATCAGCAACGACGGGCCAGAGCTGACGATCACCGGCGGTCGAAATCTCGCACCGCTGGTCACGTCCAAGCGTTGACCGTTCCAGTCGTAGAACTGCATGGAAAGAAATAACTCCGTAATTGTAATTGAGTTTTCTGTTACCTGAGGAGTAGACGAGAACTCAGTTGTAGGAGTACAAAGATTTCTATTCAGTCAATTGCTCCCAGTTATTCCAATTGAATGTTAATGCAGCTGAATGTTTCAAATTTAATGCAGCAGAATGTTTTCGGCCACAATAACACAGATGTATCATTTTTCGTCGATATATCATTTCTTGTCTGGTCTCCATTCAGTTACACAAATTGACATTTTCTTTCCCTGTGGAGCTCGTAACGCGAAAACATCGAGTTCGTCGACTACAAAGAATTAAAGAGGTGAAACAGCTCGATAGGAAGAATGATTATGAATGTACTCCATGTACCTCCATTATGGAGACCGTCGCTAATTGAAAGTCGCTGAAGAGTAATCTGATCCTGCAGGTGGGAGCTTCACTGAGACACGTGATGATGTATTCCAGGCCCAAGTCGCGCGGATATCGAGCCGGGAAAAATGGCGAGGTCAGAATACCGCCGCCGGTGCCGTTCGAGCCCTTTGTCGGCGCCCCCGATGTCATTTCCGTGCCTTTCAAGTGCAGTCTATTTCCTGCGGAGCGAAAGAACGACGCGTCGATTCCGGAATACTTTGTCGGACCACGGTGACGTTCGATTTAAGAACGAGAAGGGAAAAAAGGGACTAAATTATTCATGCCTCCGCGCGTCACAAGGCAAATCGAAGCATATCGGAAAATTCGCTTCGATATTCTATATGAGATTCCGTGAAACAGGATGAAGAATACTCGAAATACGATTCTCTCTCTAACTTAATCGAGACGTTTCGCGGTATCGTCTGGGTTATTCCGAGGAATGGACGGCAGCTATTGCATTTCCCCGCGTCGGGCTAATTAATATTTAACGCGTCCAAACCAGCTCGGTTTTGGGTCTCCGCAAACAGAGGATTAATTTGTAACGTAGATATTATCAAACGCGAAATTACTGATCGACTGTTGTTATTTGTACTGACTTTCCGCCGTGTACTCGATGGTGAACGCGTGCTTGTGGGACTGGCTGTAGAGCAGGTTTATGGACAAGGTTCTCGTACTCGATCTGTATATGATCGGCGCATACGATCCGCAGAACGGCGTGCCAGACACGTCCTCATAGGGCGGTTCCGAGAGCCACACGTAGTCGCACCTACAAAGCGCATATCCGCTTTCAAAGCGAGCTCTTTACATCCCGTTGCTGAGAGGTAATAACATATACTACAAGCATATTCTCTGACGGCAACGAGTTGAAACCGCGAAGTCGCTTATCCAGTTTCCGCGTTTAGCAAAGCGACGAGGCTTGCACGAGCTTGTCATCAATTTCACGAACTTGATTTCATGTGTTGTTTTACAAATGGGAAATCAGACGACTACATGAAAGAGGGCAGAAAATTAATAACGACTTTGATTAAATATGACATGTATTTTGTTTCGTTATTATCGATAAAAGAAATACAGCCGAGAATCCGACGAGTTCTTATAAGCCCTTTTAGTCCATTTTATTTTAACGATTACCCAGTAAAAACATATTGAGTCACAATAACATATTACGGTATATACGGAACACTCATATTGTAATAATTTCCCTCTCAACAACGTAACTTTTATGTATGATGTGTATTATATTGCGCTTACATTATATATAGAGTGAGAAATTATAATGTTATTATAATGTTAATATAACATTAATGTAACTTTATGTTTATTGAGTAGTTATTAGTTTTAATTACGTCGCTTCACATCTGCGGAAATTACACAAGCACACGGGAAAAAAGTCTCGTGCAACTGAATAGAGACTAAACGAGAAACTCGCTAATGAGAAGTAATATTTCTGTTACTATGACTGAAACACACATTTGTCTGAACATTCAGCTGCGTTAAAACTCGGTTGAAATAACTGAGAGCCAGTCTGGCTGAGATCCTGGGTGGAAAAATCTCCCACAGGAATCTTTCTGTTTCTATACAACTGAGTTTTGCATTTTATTTTTTATCCAGATGACAAAAAATTCAGTTACACTAACGAAGTTGTTTTCTTTCCGTGTGCACGTTATATTATTCCTAACGATCAATTTTATAGATCCAAGAGTGCGTTAAGAAGAAAGACAATCCGATCGTTCAGCGACGCGTTTACTGATGCGTCTCACCTGCAGGGACTGTCCATCACGACACCTCCGTCACCGCAGTGATGCGACAGCGCGATATTCCTGAAAGTGACGACGATCACACAGGACGGACATGTCACCAGCTCGAGGCTGCACTGATGGTGCGAGCTGTTGGTGGTCGCGTAGAGACGCGACGCCGGCAGCCTGGCTGGCATGTTCCTGACGAAGGTGACATTCTTCGCGAAGAGAACACCCTTCTCGCCCAGCTCCAGATACAGACGCCTGCCATTGTGGGGCCCGCAGATGTCCTCGTTACGGATAACGTTCCCGGTAGCCGCGAGCACCCAGCAGAACGTCGCGAAGATCACTGCAGCCGCGGGATGGTTTTATAGAGAAACAAACGAGAAGAATGAGACAAAGCTAAGAGATCGGTACTGCTCGCCACGTTTGATTTTTTACGCGCGTGCTTTTGCTTCGACTATCACTGCGATGTGTTCATATCTCTTACCGTATTTAGTCCGGTGCATATTCGCAGCACGGAAAGCAACGTTCTGCGCTTTCCGCCCAGGGAAACCTGAGCCGCGTATAATTTCGTTAGCGCGGCGACGGTGTTACGCACCTTGCTAATATCGAATAAGGCACTCTTATGGCATCCTCGAGGCAGCGGATAGTGTCGTCCTTGTATCTTTTATTTGGCACGGTGAGTTCAACTCGGTACGATATTGTTGACGGTATCTACTTGAAAAGCTGCATTATATAACGACATTATTATATTTTTAGTGCCGTTCCCGGGGTCGTCTTCGTCGTGTCACCTTTGGATCTCGTCTCTCTGAGCTCTACGAGATCGGTTCCGTGAATAATGAGCAAGCGACGAGCACGATATATTCTGTTACAATTGCCGCTCTTGAATGCAATTTATTTTTCTGTAAGAAAAGAGAGATAATTTTTGCGATTACATCCTGAAGGAAGAAAGTAAAGGATGAGGTATAAAGTGCAAAACGCACTAGAATCATTCTGAATATCATTCTGTCAGGATGTTCTGGACAACGTCCTGAGCACACGCTGGATAATCTCAGGACGATTTGTAGTACCTAAGATATTAGTCTCTGAAGTTCGAATAAAATTCCACTTGTTGAAAAGTCGAGTAACAACAAAAAGCGGTTTGCTGCAGCGGTCAGTTGCCCGCCATTGATGCGCAGTGACCCGGTAACCGCGCTACATGACGGACGAAGGAGAGATGAGAGATCCTGATCTGTTAACGAGTATCTCGGAGCTGTCAAATGATACACCTGAGATGGATCTCAGCATACATCCAGAGAGACAGAGATTCCCCTTCTGCATCGTCTGGACACCGTTGCCCTTCATAACGTAAATTAATCTCTGAAAATCGGGCGTCACCTGATCCTAACCTCAATCGCCTCGTCCTGCGTATTTTGACATTTGTCAAATCGTCGTCATTATTGCCGAGAATAGTTACTAATATCGTTGTTAGAGACTCGTGAAGGTTTCCTGTAACATATAACAGCTCACATTCGTCACGTTGAACGTGCGTCTTCTTTAAATTAACATGGAAACTTGATTTTTAAGATATATCTTACCGTTTATCGGGCATATGGGCATTGCGACGTCAACGGGAGTGATAAGGGACTTCGCTGGCCCTTACTACGTCTCTGAGGACGATATGGCGTTCGGCAAACCCACGAAATACTGGCAGTTGGATTACACCAAAGCCAAGGGAGGTATACAGGGATGGGATGCCGCTGTAGCAGAAGCTAGCGAATATTATAAAACTAGAATGGTAATGGAATGGTGAATGGGAGCAATATATTGCAGCTTCGTGCACCATGACGCAGAAGTCATTTTTCCACAGCACTGCTTATGCTGGGATAACTGCCATTCACATGTAGCTCGAGCCTTGGATTTAATGGCATATAACAACTCGAGCAACTGGAATATGGTAAAACTTGCATTTTACATGCTGATTTATGGAAAATATGTGGGGTAAGGACAATTTTAAGAGTAGTACAAAAACGTACATGGTATTTATTGTCGATATTCTTCATGGATGTTATTATTGTTTCAGTGTCCTAGGATACCTCAAGACTTGGTTACCATTTTGCTTGCTCATTATAATTGTGCTGGGTTTAAGTCTATATATGAGTATATAAGTGTATGTGTGTATAAGCAAATTATAAATATATTAATTTACAGTTAAGAGATTTAAAACTTACACTTTGGAATACTCTTTATGAAAATCTTGTGAATAAACATATAAGAGTATAGCGTGGTTAAACCGAAGTGTTTGGCATTGTAATTTATGTCGCTTATGATGCAAAACTGTCTGGAATATAAATCAGGACTTTGTTGTACATGCAAGAAATATATGGAAATCTACTGGTGGATATAATATCTATTTGCACTTTTATAGTGCACAAGTACAATTTATCGTATTTATGGTAAATTTATATATTTTTTTGTCCATTTAAGCATGGAATAAAATTAAATATAAGATATATGCTTCCTCATGTATATATTATATTGTACACATATCCTTACATTTATTACACTTATACAATCTTAACAGTTACTCTATATATTATACACAATGGCAAATATGTGCTTTAATTACATGTGCAAACATGGCATTATTTGAGATGAAATCATCTCTTCGTAACACAATCGACTGTATTAAAAAAATATACTTGAAATAGTCTTCTTGGACTAATAATAATTTCTGACAGTTTTGTCCTAAACATCCTAAACATTTAACTATGTAACAATATTTAATGTTTATATATGAATATATAATTTTTTTTCTATGAGTACTTAGAAAATGTCCAACTATTGCTATAAGAAAAGTAAGGATGTGTTTTAGAAAAATAGAACGCTTATAAGTAAATCAAAGAATCAAACCTAATGTCTTTTGTGCGAATGTTGTATAGCGGTTATCTCTTAAATATAATCTAATCAAGTAATTATCTAATCAAGTAACTAAAGAGTATGCTGTATCTATGATTAAGTTTGATTCCTTAATTCATAGAACTGATATATAAAAATCTGAATTAGAGGAATTTTAGGTTACTCATTAGGTTCTCTGCTATCCATTTCTGTGATAACACCTTCCTCAAGAGCGAAATCATAATCATAATTCTGACTTTCTAGTCTCTCAATAAAAGACAGGATTTCACTAATCCTCAATCCATCTATATCTAAATCTTGGTTCATATTACTCTGCAATTTCTTGCATAATTTAAATGGTACACCACTCAGGTAATGAGGAGCTTCCATTTGCTGACTCAATTTTGGCAAGTTACCGGTCGACATGGCAGGATAAGTAGGTGTTCCACCTATTAGTGGATATAATCCACTGTGATGCGATGTACTCTCTCCACCAACGTTAGGTGGCAACGAGGTCCTCCTCCTTTCCACAACCACAAAATCATCAGATTGATCCCCAGAAGGATGTTCCTCTTCTGTAGAATCAGGAGGTGAGTCCTTGTGCTTTTTTTTGCCAAAGAACCAGGACATCTTCTGCAAGAAATCTTGATCTAGTAATTTGTCAGAATTCTATTTTAATGTACATATAGTTATGTTAATGCTAAGAATCACACAAAGCAAATAGTTTTATCTTTTGTGTTGAATTTTTTTAATAAGATACTGTTATATAGTTTGTGATACTTCCTAGCTGTCTATTGATTAAACTAGCTCGGACTATAATGTTATCGTGCATGACGTGAGGGGAACTACAAACTTACGATAAAACGCGTAGTATCGCAGAAAATATAATACAACGTTTACTCACATGCAAATAATTAAAAACTTAACAAAGGACCTATAATCACAAACACAATAACTGGTCGTACTAAAGACTGACCATGTTGCTCGCTTTGTATTAATTATTTCTTCAAGATGACAAATAAGTTCGCGCTCCCACGGTGATGGACGTGATCATAGATAATGCCTTCTGTTCAACTCTGAACTTTCTGCACTGGTGCATGAAATGTACACTAAAGATCTTAGCAACAGTGACGTCAATAATCGCTGAGCCTTTTTATAGAGCAGCGATACTCGATACAAATTCACTCCTAACACAAATAATTTTTTGTTATAAAAACTCAACTGAAAGATGAGATTGAAATTTGCTCAATTATCATTTCTTGCTTAACTCGACATATCTTGACAAGACATAATGACAATATTTAGATTAACATAATTAAAAATTAGAGAATATATTCAATTTTTAAAATGCTATCTCGTTATCATTATTTTTGCCGAATTTACAGCTTGTTAAATTGTGTCTAATTTTTATGATAATATAAAAGATTACCTAACCTACCGTGAAGCAATACTCTCTCTTTCTCTGTTCAATATTGTTAAAAAATTAAAAGTATGGTCGATATTTGTAGTTAGTCTTATATCTAATACCGTCTTAAATTCATCTTCAGATGATGAATGGATCATTTTATTGGCTACGGGGTATCTGAAAGGGAATTTAAAATATAAACCAATCTATGATCAAATACGACCGATCCATTGTCAGGTGCAATCCATTAGACGCCGCAGATACTTTGAAACACCGTATAGACCAATTATGTCTATTCTTTAAGCGCTTCAGACGTTTACGGTGTCTAATGGATCGCGCTTTTAGAGTCATACTACAATTTCAATTTCTCGGTCCGTATGGTGGCGACTCGTAGCGGGAACTTTAGAACTAACTTACAAAAATAACGGGTCTAATAATCTTCAGAATACTCTTTATTTAGATTCGTTATTTTAACAATAAATAAGTTTGTTCGCATTGCTTGTACTTTTGATACTTTTACATCTAATATCCGTTGCACACCAGACGCGATAAATGATATCTAATGAAAGCTCTTCTTTCTAAAAAGAGACCAGTGTACAACGGACATTAACTGTAAAAGTATCAAAAATGCAAGCAACACGAGTATATTAATTGTGATATTTGGACAGTTGGATTGTAATGAATTATTATTAGAATTCATCATTATTTAAATCTCTCTCATGCACAACTACGATTCAGCAATATTGTGAATTCGCTTCTTCCCGACAGTGCATACGAATGACGACTATGACCCCAGCCAGAAATGATTCGTCAATCGATGTCGAAACGATGTCGAATCGACGTCGATTTCACGATTTCGATGTCGATTCGACATCGATCAACGAATCATTTCTGACTGGAGACGCGAGATAACTGCAACCGTGGCGATGTTCAGCCTTTTTCGAAACAATGGCGACGCCGTGGTTGAACTCATAACGCCGCTCCGTATTTCATCAAAGATTTTGACTCGCCGAGTGCGAATTGCAGCTACCAAGAATGCTGAAAGTGAGTACTATGCATTTATCGCAGAGAGATATTGTTGAATAGCCGTGGTAAATGAGACTTTCACGGCACAAGCCGTCGAAAATGCCAAGCAAAGTATCTCGCGTTCGTCGCGTTATGGCGGACTCGGTTCGTGTATTACGATCGCCGCTCGTTGCGTTTTTGCGTTCGTCGAAGGGGAGGCTCGCGATGAAATCGTCATCGAAAATGTCGCGAACAAGTCAGGCGTGTTTGTCATAGGAATTGTCGAAAGTACGCGTCGCGGTAAACTATACCGCCGCGAATACCGAGTGAAGTTTCCCGCGTTCGCGGCACCACGGCGCTCTCGCGAGAAATTCAAATATCTTAATATCTCAATCGCGCCAGTAATGGCGCAGCAGCACTTCGGTCTCGCGAAATCGCTCCGCGGTTCTCGCAGTTTTGACTCACGGAAAGTGTGTCTCGAGCTCGTGATATCGCCGGGAGTTTCGAAAATGAATTGCACGCGTGTGTGATGATAAAGTATCGTCGAGCAGCTGCGGAAAATGATCGTGTGAGGAACGGAGTAAAGTATCAGGCGATCGTCGACCGATACGGCGATCGTGGGTTTGGTATCGACGTCGGATCCCTCGCTGTCGGCCCGTTGAAGGGGAAATCGGTGAGTGTCGTCAAAGTAAAGTCAATAAGTAGCACACTTTCCGCTGTTATATATTTCGGAGTCGTAGCTATTTTTCGCGAATTTAACTTCGATTGCAGGGTGAACTATTTGGGGCGGGGGAGAGAGTTATGTTATAAGAGCTAAAGTAGAATCAGCGTACAAGAAATTGCAGTAAACACGAATATTGCGGTTCAAAACGTGTTTGTACATGCTGTCTCTCTCTTTTTCTCTTTCTCTTGTTTTCTCTCGTTCTCTCTCGATGTCTTTCTTGTTGCTTGTGTTTATATACATCGGTAAAGCAGTTTCAAACTCTCCACCTGTTGTATCATCCGCGCAGAGATGGTTAGTTTCGCGCTTCGCTAGATGGCGGAAGCGTATCGAATCGCCAGCATTCAGCAACGCTTATCTTAGCAAGAGTCCCCGTGTGTATTATGTGATGTGGAAAGATAATTCCGCGATTACATCAGACGGGCTCTCAAAGTTTACCAGGAAATGCGAATGTATCGACTCATTTCGGTCATCTTATCTCGTAAATACCGCGACGAATAATTTTATTAGTCTCATAACGTATTATTGATGTTACAATTTACAATCATACACACGCACATCCCGAAATACCCCGCAAACCTGCTACATGAACTAACAACGCGACGACGTTGCACATTTCTCTCTTTAACTTTTTAACTTAAATTTTCTTGGTAAATGTCATCTATCTCGTTTGTATCATTGACTCTACCGCGGCCACGACGATTCCCAGAGAGGCGTGAAAAAAATCTACGTAACTCTCGCGACAACCACCATACGGCCAGCAGTTCTCGACGGTGTTGGCTCGGCGTTGAATCAACTCGACGAGCTCTCGCGAACGCCGGCGGAAGATGCCGAAGGGTCTCGGGACGCGCGTAGGTAGATTAGTCGGGGTTCGCGCGCGACGTTTCGCCCCACGGTGGAGGAGATCCACGTTCGTTTGCTGATTTGCAAGGTTCTCGCTGTGAATCGCAAAACAATCGCTCGCGGACGGTCGCGAGAACGTTCATCGTTCCGGGACATGTTCCCGGCAGATGACGACGACGACGCATGCGTGCCGCCACCGCCGCCGCGACGGCGACGACGACGACGACGAGCGTGTGTTTGTGAACGACGTGGTCGCGTGGTACACGTGTGTGTACGTGTAACACACGTATCCCGCGGTGTAGTCGCTTCCTGATCGCGGACGGCCGGTTTCGCGTAGTTCGGCAAACCGCGTCGAGGTAGCGGCGCGATCGCATTGTTTTTGTGTCGCCGTGTCCGTCGCGCACGCACGATCGCGACGGAACGCACGCACCCGCGCGCGCGCGAGCGAGCGAGTGAGAGAACAACGGCTCGTATCCGGTGAATTCGCGATCTCGCGCAGACACCCGCGCCGTTCCTGTGCACCTCGGCGCCGTTCGGACGAGTATCTCATCCCCATCGAAGGACGACGACGACAACAGCAGCGGCTCTTAGGTGTGGCGGAGCAACGTGCCGCGAGTAAGTACGATCGTCGTCGCGTGCGTGTCACGTACAAACACAGAAGCGCGCGCGCACGTATACACACGTACGCTGCAACACAGTATCAATGTACACCGTCACCGATCTCGCGCGAACTGTCGAGCTGCAGCCGCGTGCGATCGCCGGCGTGTCGTGGATAATCGCGACGACGACGACGACGACGACGAGTACACGCGGAACGGACGGAGCAGCGCACACGTTGTGCGTGTCGCCTCGACGGCGCGTAATTTTAGCGGCAAGTGGGGACCCTCCGCGAGAGACAGACGAATCCGCGAAGTTCGAGGAACGCCACCGCGTTTCGAATTTGCGATCGCTCTGTTACTATCTCGGAAAATTACGCGGGATCGCGCGCAACTGCGAACGATACTTCGTCGTAATTCTCTCGTCCTATCGATATTCACCATGACGCGTCCCTCTCCGCTCACTCTCCCCGAGATAAACATGGTGAAGCAACTGACCTTTCGTAAGCGATGCAAACGTAAATATGAATATTGCGCTACGTCTCTGTGGGGTCAATGATTATGATTTTGAAACGTCTCGAGATCGGAGAGGAAAACACTCCGGATAAGGTAACACTTACATTCAAGAATAACATCTTTATTTAGCGAGAGAGAGAAAGAGAGGGAGGGAGAAAGAGAGCGAAATTGTTGACACGTGGAAAAAAAAGTATCATGTCGGTAGAATTTAACTCGATTAATTCGACGCCACTAATTTAATGCTGCTACATAAATTGTGTTATAACATGTTATCCATAATAATTGGGGCACATTATATAGAGCGTAGGTCACTCGCTTATGTACAGATGTGTAGGTCGAACTATATATGTATGTGTGTATGTAAACCGTGGTTCAATCTCTTCAGTAGGGACTTGAAATGACTGCGCGATTCGACCCCCACAGGGCGGGTTTTTTCTTTTTTCTCTATTGCTGTTTTCTTCGAAGAATATTTTTAAAAGAAAGTAAAATCTAAAATATTTATATAAGTTGCCACGCGAGATAAAAATACAATACAATAGTTAAGTAAATTAAAAGAAACTTAACATTTCACCACGAAACTTTTCCGAGCACACCACTTAAGAAATTAATTGGCAAAAGTCATTTGGTCGTCGAATAATCGACTGAAGGCACGTCTTTCACAAATAATACTTTGCATTTATTTTTATCCCCTCCCCCTCCAAAAAAAAGTAACGCAAAGAACAAGTGAAATCGGCTGTGTGTAAAGAGGCGTCTACATTGGAAGTAAGAAGTAGGAAGTAAGAATAAGAAATTGACCAATCATAGTTGATTATTCTTCTCACATTCGACTGGGTTGGTCAATTTCTTTCTCTTACTTCCTACTTCTTACTATTTACTTCCAATGTAGACGCCCCTTAAAGACTCGTCTACAACACGCGGAGTAAGCTTGGCGTAAATTGGAATAAGAAATAACAATGATTTATTTCGCTTACGCGTCTATAATCCAGCTCCCCACACCGGAAGTATTTCTCTTGAATAAGAGATGTACTTCCGGTGTAAAGGAGTCAGGGATCGCATTCTGCGATCGCAGTTGCGTCTCAAAGTCGTAGCACTAGTC